AAAAAAAAAAAAAAAAAGATTCAATTAAAGACAAAATGGATGGTAGAAGCCAAAGGGAGAATGCACCGATGGCACCCAAACCTTTTTTGGGTCATCTAAGAAAAGTGCACTAATTTATATATAAAGAAGTCTTTTTTGTTGTGTATGTGTGTGTGTGTATGTTTAAAGAAACTACATGAAAATCACACTGTGCACAATGCTGAGATGTTTTAATGTGCTCTATGGTAAAATGTGACAAAGAAACTAAAACACAGTTCAGTTAAGTTCAGTTCCTCTTGGATTTACCAAAATGAAAGGGACTTACCTCTGAACATGCAGGAAAAGACTCAAGCAAGAGTTCAAAGACAGAGACAAAATTTTAGCACTGTACTCATTTATCCACAGTTGTTTTCCCGAGAAAACACTATTGATAGAACTGTCTTGCAACCCTGATACAAAACCCTGTTACCATACATATAAAACAAACATGAATACAAGAATATAGAAATATTATTATCCTAACATTTCTGTGGTCTTGAATTTTTTGGGGGGCTTGATTAAAAGTAATGTATCCATGTTATCTTATCTACTCTGATCTGACTTGCTGTAACAGGGTTGCATAAAAACTGTATCTCTGACACCTAACTGTATGAATATACTTTTTGATTTTTTTTTAAAATACATATTTAAGATGAAAAATCATGTTCATACTTTGCAACTTTAAAGAAACTGAATCACTGAAAATGACTGACTTCACTGTTTACCCAGTGAAACTTCATATTTTAAACAACAGAAAGAATGACGACATATCAAAAAATTAAATAAATAAATTAAAGTTCTGCTCCCACAATAAGTTATCCAAGATGAAAAATAGCATGGGAGTTTAAGGTTAATGATAGCCACGAATATGATTGTGAAAAACAAGACTTTTTCTTTCATTTTCAGGTTCACTATTTCTGGGAATCACTCAGATTCCTGTCACAGTTCAACTTATTGAGGTTAGAGGTAAAATCCCCTTATGTAAGAGGCTTATATCGTTAGATACTATTATCAGAGGAAGAAGAAAGTACAATAATGTTTTTCATATTTGTTAAGGTCTCTCATATATGAAATGGATTCTCATATAAAAATGGTTAACTGTCTTTATCCTGTCTTCCTTCTCTCACCCCAACCAATCACAGCAGATGGCCCCGCCCCTCCCTGAGCCTGGATCTGCTGGAGGTTTCTTCCTGTTAAAAGGGAGTTTTTCCTTCCCACTGTCGCCAAAGTGCTTGCTCATAGGGGGTCATATGATTGTTGGATTTTTCTCTGTATCTATGAAGCGCCTTGAGGCGACTTTTGTTGTGATTTGGCGCTATATAAATAAAATTGAATTGAATTGAATGGGAGGGTATTTATCTATCTATCTATAGAAAGATAGTGTAGTGGTAACACTACTCGTCTACCAGTTCGAATGTCACCCAGATTAACAAGGTCCACATCAGGTCTCTAGGACACACTGTTGAGAAGTGGGCTTCTGGAACAAGAAGACACAAGTGAGCAAGGGATGAGAACAGAGAGCTGTTGGAATCTGAAGTAAGGAAGTGATCCCAGTAAAAGAGGATGTCAGACCTATGGAGTCTTTGACACCCAACATTAGTGAAACAACTAGTAGCTCAGTGTTTCAACATCTGGAAGATGCAACTGCTATCACAACTAGAGACTGATGAGGTACAACACAAATGCTACAGCAGAGGGGTGCCTAAGAAGAAGTCCATATGGAACTTGAGAATAAAGACTGCTTACCCAGCAAAAAGAACCACATTTTAAAAATCTGGGGGAAAAAATTCTGAAAACGTTTCTTATAAAAAAAAAATTGAGGCAGTCTGCGAAAGAAACTGCTTTAAAATATGACCTATGAGACTTTTGAATGTTATTATTGATCAGTCTGTTTTAATTCAATGTGCTTGCGACATGTGTATCAAATGTCTTCCACAGCAGATCGAGTGTCTGCTCTGATAACCATCTTGCCAACAACTGATAACATTGTGGAAAACTTTGAGTTTGAGGTTAATGATAGCCATAAACGTGACTGTAAAAAACAAGACTTTTTCTTTCATTTTCAGGTTCACTATTTATGGGAATCATTCAGATTCCTGTCACAGTTCAACTTATTGAGGTTAGAGGTAAGATCCCCTTATGTAAGAGGCTTATATCGTTAGATACTATTATCAGAGGAAGAAGAATGGGCGCACTGACAGAGGCGAGGCTGCTGGACACTGGTACCACCGGGCCCTCTGACCACCACCAGTAGGCAAACACGGAGTTAGTATCTTGCCCAAGGATATTTGGCAAACTTCTGGTCTCAGATTTGCTTAAAAACCTTTCATCTAATTAGAAATCCCAGTCTTCAATTAATTCAATACAAAATA